TAAATGTCAAGTTCTGCACCTAGGAAAAAGAAACCAAATGCAGTGTTACAGGATTGGGAATACTTGGCTCAGCAATACTGCAAGTGAGATGGAGCTTGTAACTGTTGAAGATCATTAGCTGTATATGAGTCAATGATGTGATATAGCTGCAAAAAGAGCAAATTTTAGGCAGTATTAACAGAAGTACCATTTCCAAATCATGTGAAGTACAAGTTCCCCTTTACTCAGCACTGGTGAGGACTCAGCTGGGGTACTCTGTCCAGCTATGGACACTACAGCTTAAGAAAGACACAGACAAACTGGAAAGGGTTCAGAGGCAACAAGGATGATCCAGGAACTGGCAACAAAGCCTTCTGATGAGAGATAGAATGAACAGGACTTGTTTAGCCGCAAGAAGAGAAGTCTGAGGGGAGATATGATAGCACTCTTCAAGTATGAGTACTTGAAAGGTTGTCACAATGAGGAAGGCCAGGATCTCTTCTCAATCATCCCAGAGTGCAGGACATGCACTATTGGGCTCAAGTTACTTGAAGCCAGATTCCAGCTAGATATCAGAAAAAAATTCCTGACTGTTAGAGCAGTATGACAATGGACTCAATTACCTTGTGAGATTCTCAGCTGTCCCAAACTACAGGCATTCTAGAGGCAACTGGACAGTCATTTGAGAGGGATGGTTTAACTGGGAGTCCTGCACTGAGCAGGGAATTGGATTTGATGGCCCTCTGGCCCCTTCCTGCTCTGCTATATTATGATTCTATGAAATTCCCTGTTTTATTTACTTATTACATTTTTGTAATACCAATACAAACTGCTCTCTGAGCAGTTCACAATACAAACCATAAAATATAATAAAATGCACTATAAAAATGTAAAACTATAGTATTAAATAAAAGTAGAAACCAAAGTAAAACAGCACCAATGCAATGATTTAAAATACAACAACATGTATGAAACAAAATATATTGAAGATGCTTGAAGATACAAAGATGAATTTGGCTTTGGGTTTTAACAGAGTGACTCCTGTTGTTTCTGGGAACTCTCCAAGGTCCTGTGATCAGCATCTGGTAGCCATCTGTTTCATTCTGCTCCCCAAGTTTTTGCCGGAATGGGAGAGTTCTAACAATTAGAAAATTTGAAGGAGACCAGTACAAAGAGCGTGATAATCATACTTATGGTACTGTTGAGCTCTTGGACTTTGATCTGACCTTTGTGGCATATTTAGTGTAATGAATAGCTTAGCCCTGTTGAGATCTTTCTACAAGCACATTGTAGAGTCTCAAAACAGTTTATATATCATACATTCCCTTGCTAATTGATTAACAAATTTGCTCATGCTATTCTCACCTGGTATAATACTTTTGCTTATACTCTGATGAGAAACAGCAGGAGAAAATACTTCAATAGCACAGGTAAACACTATTTAGAACTGAGGAAGATGCCATCAAATTGCTCAAACATAAAATATACAAATATAAATATTATTTCCAAGCATTTGCCTTATACACTTTCAAGGCTGTGCCTTATTTGTAGAATATTTAGTTCTTAAACTGAATGTTACTGGAACTGGTTTAATGCATTCCTCCCTAGCTAATCCATTTGTTGTTGAATTACTGCATAACTGCTTGCACAACTGTCAGAAACATCTATTGTCTAATGCCAACAACATCATGGATGACAAAAACTGTAACATTTTTTTATGTCCACACACTGTGAGTATTGATTTTAATATTTTAAATTTTATTTATTCAGCATATAGGACTACAATTTATCATTGTTTATAGCATTGCAATGAATTATGTATCTTTTTGCTATATTCCATATAGACCTACAATTCATCATCCTCTATAGCAATGAAATGGATTTGTTACATGTCTTTTTGCTGCATCCATATACTCATGCAAAACTTACATCTAATGTAGGAAAAGAAATTATATCCTTTACATTCATGGAATCAACACAATGGAAAAAGTAACCTGAAATAGATAATTGTTAAGGGTAACATTCTACACCTAAAGAAACTGACAATATCCTTAATTAGTGTTAATGGATTGGGATAGCAGCCTGCAATATGTAGGCTAATGTGGGCATAAGAGGACATTTCTGAACAAACATGGTTAGGATCAGATTGCAAAATGACACTGGGATCTTTTATCTCTGTGTGTAAAGTACTTCCAAGTCATTTCCAATGTGTGAATTTCAACCCTATGAATGAAAGCTCTCCACAATCTCCTCTCCATAACAGTCCTATTCAACTCTTCCACGTTCAGAGTTGTAGGTTTCTTTCTGGAGTCAATCTATCTCATATTTGGTCTTTGACTTTCCCTAACATGATTGTCTTCTCTAGTAAGCCTTGCCTTCTCATGATGTGTCTGAAATATGACAGCCTTAGTTTTGACATTTTTGCTCCTAGGGTATGCTCTGGCTTGATTTGATCTTGGACTCACTTGTTCGCCTTTCTTTCTTTCCAGGGTATCTGCAAAGCTCTCCTCCAGCACCATGTTTTGAATGCACTAATTTTCTTCCTATCCAGCTTTCAAACCCACACACTGTGATTGAGAATACAAAAGTTTGGATGATCTTGATCTTTGTCTCCAGTAAAGCATCCATATATGTGATGATATTTCTAGTTCCTTCACTGTTGCCCTTACACGTCTCAGTCTTTGAATTTTTTGGCTGCAGTCTCTCCACCTGAAGTGATGACTGAGCCAAAGTATGTGAAATCTTTCACAATTTCAATTTCTTCATTATAAACAGTACAATTCTGTAATTCTTCTGTCATCATGATTTCTGTTTTATTAACGTTCAGCTACAGTCCTACTTTTGTGCTTTCTTCTTTTACTTTTATCAGGAGTTTCAAGTCATTGCTGCTTTTTGACAGTACTATGGTATCATCTAGAGTATATATCTTAAAATAGATTTTTCACCAATTCTGGTTTTTACCAGAATAATGTATATTCTATCTGCCAACAGAATAAAAATTCTGCACCCCACATGCACCACCTGAATCTGCTGTAGAGGTTTGGGAGACCCTCTGGAGCAAATTTGGAGGAACATTGGTAATGCAGGAGGAGGAAAGGAAAATCTTTGTATATGAGCAGAAGTCTGTCCACATGATGATGGATGTATATAAGGGTACAAAGCACTGTTTTAAGATTAGCATTGTATACTGTTAATTATTAGCATTGCCACATGTTTCTTTGCAGAAGGAGTTATAGAACAACAAGCCATTTGGTTCCTTCCAGTCCTGGACTATTTCCATGAAAGTTGATAATTACTAGAACTATGCAACTTCAAAAATTATGCTTGAGTTTGCTTAATTTCCTCTACCCTTTCCTTTTTTGGAGTGGGGTATCTGTCTGATCATAATCAAGTGGGCAGGGACTCTCATTTTAAATCTTTCTATAGTTCTTAATAAATTCTAAGCTAATAATGACAGCAGAAGCAGAAACAACAATAAACACAAAATGCAAGATAGTCTTGATTTATGGTTTAGGTGCCTATGTATTTTATCATTTATGTTCAAGAATACTTTCCCTTAAATTACAAATAAGCAGAAGCAATATCAGTTTGTTAAATAACCAGTCATACAATTTTTCAAAATGTGAAATGCTGGCACACATAATTGAAATTTTACCTGTACATTATAGTTATGGGAAAATTCCCAGTATTTCACAACTGAGATTAAGATGTGATTTGAAAAGACATTTTCAGATAATATGGTTATAATCACTTCTCTCCAAGCACTGCATTAAGAACAATTTTACTATAATGCCAGCACTAATCTACTTAAGACAGTATCAGATTTTTAATTACAGTATGTTATTGTGTTTTAGTCAGTTCCTGATGTCCTTTAAATAATCCCTCATTCATGCTATGTGAGTTTATCAGAAATTTGTTAACCAGGATTGAATGATGTCTCAAAATTACAGGCCTTTGTGTAGCGAAAGCAAATGAACAAGTTAGTTGCAACTACATTTGTTCTTGGTATAACTTCCTGAGCTAGCTGAGGATTGGTAAGAGCAACACCATCTACTGACACTTCTGAATACCTACCAGCTAGTAATGGCCATGGCAAAAGTTGTGGGGCAGTATTGCTGGCCATTTCACCCTGGCAGATATCTTCACTTTCAGTAATCACTCCACTGAAAACAATGGTAGCAGAAGCTGAGGCGGAGTTAGCTGCACTGGGTTCAGACATATCTAAGAGCAGGGACTGAGCTTGATTTAGGAAGAAGAGTGCCTTTGGATCCCAGCAGCTCCAAAATGGGTAAGCTCAGCCTGCTCCCAATACACCCCATTCTGGGATTCTATGCTCTGACAGGAGCACCACCATTGGTAACTTTCTTTCTATGGAACTCAATGTGGTTGCAGTCTGGGCTTGTACAGTAGAGTGTTTTGCAGCAGAAGTCTCCTTTACCAACAGAGGCTGCTGAAGGGGCATCTATGCCAAATCCTAATCATGTTGAACAGTCAATAACAGGAAGTTAAGAATGCTGTCTTAGTCATAATTGATTTTGGCTGGATTGGGGGCAGTGTTTCTTGAAATAAATGCAAGCAAAACCAAACTACACATTCTCACTGTAAGTGTAATTCTGACACCACACACACAAATATGGTCCCAAATCTGTCCCAAACAGTTGATGCCATTTTAAAAAGCTGACTGTGGCACTTGCATTTATTTCTTTTCTTGCTCTTAAAACCTGTCAGCTTTCTATGCTATTTGCTTTTGTATTCATTACAGATACCATCAAAATGTTTACATTCCTGATGTAGTACATGAGCCTGGCGTATTAATCGTAAAATAGTGAGCAGCTAGGAACAAGTTCATTTAAGCAAGTAAGAGTCTACTAGAAGGTAACTACAGTCCACACTGTGCTTAAATTAATGTAGAAACAGGTGCCCAACTATCTTAGAGTAGTATTAATGTGTATTAATACAGCAAAGGAATTAATCTCCTGTGTCTTAAGGATTTTTTGTTATAACTGTAACTCAACTCTTACTTTGCTTCCAGGGCCAATGCAATGATTCCTGCAGCCATAGGAGCAGATGCTGACGTTCCTGTGTGGCTGTCTGTACAACGTTGCCTTAAGTCTGTAGTGATCTGGAAAAAAGGAAAGCCTGGGATTGAGATCATTGTTGCAGGGGTCAAAACATGTTTCAGTTGTCCAAATGACTTATGGAGAGTTGCAATTCCTGTTACTACTGAATGACAGAGCATTTGAAAATATGCTTTATTTTAAATATCTTGAGAACAGCAGTGAAATTACAGGCAATGAGTGAAAACCAAAGCCATTAAAATCATGGGGAGTTTTATGACCAAGTTTGATCAAATAAGGGAAGTATTTTTCAACATTTTATGGTTAATATTACATGCAAAACTAAACTCTACTGTAGCACAAGTTTTATACTTTCTAAGACTAGAGTAACAACTATTATTTGTACTTGAACAATATGGTAAGATATTTTGCCCTAGTTTTTCAGCTGGAACATCATACAATAAGTCAAGGAATCCTGTATAGGAGCTGAAGTATTTGCTGCAAGAAATCACAGCCCATCAAGAGTTTTCTAGACCTGTATTACACGTTATCTTCTTTTAAGTGAATTTGATTAAATCCATTTGCATCATTTATTTTGCCAATAGCTTTTTCAGATCTGTAATTCTTTAAATATGCTGCACAAAATAATTCTGCCATATGACTGAAATGGCAATGTGCTTTCTTGCATACAATTGGCACTAGATGACTGCCATACTGTTTCTGTACTGCTTTCATAAAAACTGTTGTTATTTATAAAAAACAAAAACTTTACATTACAGTTCTAGTTATACATGGAGGTGTAGTATACCAGATACCTGATGAGGGCTGCATGGTTGATGATATCAGAAGGTGTGTTGCTGGCATAGCCAGCCCCAAGGCTCAGCCCTGCACTTACCCTAGAAGGTGGGAAGGACTTCCTATCCTTCCAGATCATACCATTCAAAGGTAGCCCCCCACCGGCTGCAAAGAAACCTTGTGCATTTAAAACCTATAAGCTGTAGATAGTAAGCTAGCCAAAATCCCTCTGTGACAAAAATCAGGATTCTGCCCTTTCAAAGCAATTTAGATGCTGCCATCTACTGAAAGGACAGTGTGCCCAGCTGGGGATAGGCTGACTCTGAAGGGATTTTGAATGCTGCTTAGAAGGAATGATGCATAACTTCAGAGGTATTGAATATCTCAGTGCATCCAGCCTGGGATGCAGCAGTAACTGCCTCTGAAAGAGCAAACTGCCCCAGGCTGTCAGGGCTCCCCCCCCCTCCCCCCGCAAAACCTCCTAGTTATACCATGCTGCTAGAACAAGCCCTCTGCATTTACAGGTGAGCAGTTCTGTGCTCAGCCTAGCCTATCTAAACTTAGTTCATCAGATACTTTTCTACAAATCACTTACTCTGAAGATGTAAGGGAGAAACTGCGTTTCTATGCAGTTATTATGAAGGCAAGCCATCAGTCTTTCTCTGATGCTATCTACTGGGGAAGGTTAGTTATTCAGGTCAAACACAGTCTCTTTTCTTTGCCGATAACATTATCACGGCTCTCACCCTAAGCCTCTTATTTTGAGATATTTCTTATTCCAATGTTGAGCCTGCAGCAGTGTTTGGAACATTTTTAACTGCCAACAACTTCAAGTTGGTTGTTGCCCAAACAGAAAATAAAACCTTAATGAAATCCTGAAGGTACAATTTCTTTTCCTATTGCAATGCTACATAATAGTTTCAGTTTCTACAAGGCACTGGAAACAGGAATAATTTGTTTAAATGAAAAACATGCTAAAGTCTGAGAGCAAATTTATTTAAATTGTAAATTTAACTTCCAAATTCTGGGCTGCTTCGAAGCCCATTAACTTCCGGGTTTACCAGTAATGGGAAGCCGTGGTTAACAATGGCTTTCCTGCTTGGCTCTCTCAAATGGTGCAGCAAAATTATGGTAAAAGGGCTGTATATGGTACAGACAATGGTTTGAACATCCAGACCAAACCAATCAGGATTGGTATGATTCTAAATGTGCGGTTTCTCTGATAAGAAAAGTTTCTCTGCAACACTGCTTTAACTCTAACTGCTTCCTGTTGATATCCATCCTATTTTATCCTGACATATGGTTGTAGGATGGCGTGTAAACCAAACCAAAAGCAAACCAAAGAAAATACACAAATAAAGTGAGAAAAGAAAGCTGTGCTGGGAGCATTTGTTATAGCTTTGTCACCTGGTTAAATAGGGACATGGGCATAGTGCTTAGAATGTTTGACTAGGACTCATGAAATCCAGGTTCAGGTCCTCACTTGGCCATGAAGTTCACTGGGTGAGTTTGGGCTAGTCACTAACTCTCAATCTTACCTACCTCACACAGTTGTTGTGAGGGCAAAATGAGGAGGAGCGGGAGCATTGTGTAAGCTGCCTTGGTTTACTTGTAAGAAAAAAGGTGGAATACATATATGATAAATGAATAAAATAAATAAGCTCTAAATTTCAAAAGATTGTTGTTTTGAAGGGACAACTTCTCAGTTGGAATTTGCATGCTTATGTTCACACCTGCATATTGTAACTTTTCAAAACATATGACCATTTTTAATCATAGCATGGGTAGCAAGAACTACACAGTGAAAGTACAACTAAAAAGTACAATAGATTATTTGGTATACAGGAAGGAAGAAGTGTATTTTACTTTTACAGGTGATGGAGTATATCAAGGAATATACTGTATACAATGTGTAAATTAATTTGTAGGTGAATCTTACCACCAAAATGAGACAATCTTAAGGCTAGGAAGAACACTTCAGATCTGTTTCTCAATGCTTTTAGGAGCACTGCAGAATAAATTCTCATCCTACAGTTGTAATGATACTTTTCTCCCTCAGCTTTTGGGCCTAAGTATTTGGAAAGAGGAGCAGCCAGGAGTGTTTGCAATGCGGACAGACAAAACAGATCCATTTTGGCACAGGAAGGTTCCTCAGAGCTCTGGGTCTAATTCTGCATCCAATATGATGAACTTCTACTATAGTTTTCTCAAATTACAACTACTGATTAATAATTTAGAAATGTGTTTCTATACAAGCAAACTTTAAAAGCAACACCTAACTTATTTCAATAAAATAAAGCCATGATCTACAATCCTGTAAGCAGAGCTTTCCTTCTGCAAAGCTGTCAGAGGAATAGATTCATTTCAGTGGCCCGACCAGCTTTTTACCTTCGGAAGAATAGATACACAAGCCGATCAGACCACAACTCCACTGAAGGTGAATGAGAAAACCTGAGCATGTGTCACTGCACATAGGGCTCTCAGTCAGGGCATAAATATTTTTGTTAGCCTTTTATTTTTATTAAATATATTAAAATACAAAAATGATCGTAAGAGGGGTTATTTAGCACTTTATCATGGTATACCGCAGAACACCTTATCTAATAACATTCTCAGGAAGCTAAATGAAATCATATTTCCAAGGAAACAGGAATAAGAGAATAAAATAATTGCACAAGAAGCAAGATATCAAACATTTTACCATGAATCAAACATTACAAAAAGGTCCACGGTGAGGCATTTATCTCAGGAATGTTATTTGCTGGGAAATCAAATGATTGCATTCCTATTACTATTACTTATCAAGAAGGCCTTAGAAACAAGCCAGAGATATAACATTTCTCCACACTAGCAGATAAAAATAAAGATGACCACTGGAATAGAGTTACTTCTGAATTTGTCTTTAAAATTACTAGTTTGAAAAGAACAAACTTTCCAAGTGAGATGGTGAATGTCTATGATTATTAGAAGGCATGGTAGACAATGTTTTCAAAACCAACAGATATTATTAACAACAAGAGAGTCATAAGGAGAAAATTATAAACAAATTTGTATCTCTGATGGAAAATGATGGTTGAGAGAATAAAATTGTTCTACCTTCCTTTCAGTAGGAGGATGAACAGGTATTTTTTGTTCACTGTTTTTTGTGCAAATCAATTTTTGACTGAGAAGAGTTTTTGAATTGTTTTAAATTTGCAAACTTTCTGTTCCTTCATCTATGAATGTGCTAGTGACCAGCATATTACATTTTCTAAATAAGATGAAATATGAGTAATCTGCAGGCTATGAACGAGTTCTGTTCCTGAGAATGTCCTTAAGTCAGATTTGTATATAAGTTGGATCACATGTATATATTTTACCTTTCTATGCATATAAAACAGTTAAGAAACACTTCCATATTCACTAAAACATCTTAAACACAATACAGCATTTTAATAATGATAATATAGTAATAGTAAAGAAACTAGGGGTACTGAACAGAGAAAGAAAGAGAGCATCTGTATGGATGGGTGTTGGTATACAGTACTATAAAAAAACAACAACAACAAAAAAGAAAGACCTACACGGCCATTGAAGATGCGTCACCAAATGTGTTCCATAGTTCACTAGAGATATTCACAATTTTTTGCTAGAGATATTCATAGAGGGTTTATAGCAGTCCATGCATGCTGTCTGTCCATAACCTGGACATTTGTAACCCAGGGACTACCTGTATTCATCTACAGAAAGGTCTAGTTAATAGCCTGTCTTTTCCCCACACCATGAGATAAAAAAACACTTTGACCATGTTGAAAACTCCACATACTATTTTCCTGTCGTAGGATTCTCCACTGCTGTAAGTTGTGGCTAGTGTAGATGCACATTCTTCTAGATACCAAGGTTTTCGGCCACTTTCAGCTGTGCTGCTAATGGAGATAGTGTAGATACTATTGGTGTAACCATCACAGGAACAATGATCTTTACTTCTTCCGCCATTTCCAGATGCCCAAACATAAATGGATCCCAAGTTGTTTCGGCCCTATTTTAAATAAGCAGGGAAAAGGAAATTAGTTAATAAGCAAATAAACTTGCTGTACCTTTTCTCCTCACCTACAATTGAAAAAAATATGTCCAAGTTAAACCAATTTTTATCCTCATTTATTTCTATGGGGAATGTTAAACATATGCTTAAATAGTACCGTAAAGTGCTTAGTACTGGCTGGTTCATGCTTAATTGAGAAGGAAGAGGTAAGAGACTTTTCACTCAAATAAATTCCAAGTGTTGCCTTTAACATACACAGCCCTAAATGGCTTGAGACCAGGACATCTAAAGGACTGCCTATCTCCCATATGCTCCGCTTGTTCACCAAAGTCTTCATCAGAGGCCCCTCTCCAGGTTCTTCCCCTGAGTAAAGTGAGGGGGGAGATGGCTAGGAGAAGGACCTTTTCTGCAATAACAGTCCACTACTGGGATTCTTTTATCAAAAGAGGTTTGCCTGGCACCATCACTTCTTTCTTTTAGGTACCAACTGAAGACATTTTTATCTTGCAATCGTTTTGGTGGGTGAATAGTTATAATTGGTATATTACTGTTATTGCTGCCATGTTAAGTGTTTAGTGCCCAGATGATACTTATATTTATTATTTATTCTATTAAATAATTTAATAAATTATTTATTAAAATGGACGTTTAAAGGGTTTGATTGGTGATTGGATTGTTTCTATTTTTTAACTATTTCATGGCTTTAGTGTTTAAATTATACTGTTTCATTGTTGTTTTACGCTTGTTTATACAGGCTGTCCTGAAAGCCTTTGGCTAAGAGGCATGGCATATAAATGTAATAAAAAACACAATTAAACATAAATCAAGCAAAATTGATCAGTAGTTAGAATTTAAAAATAAGGTACTAAAAGAAAATGAGTTCTTAGGAAAGATTATAATTTATACACTGTCCAAATGACTTGTACCCAATTTATGATGCTGAAAATCCCAAAGGCTTGGACAAGTTTTTCATCACATCTTCCAACCAAACAGTTCGCTCTCTTTGCTAAATGCTGACACTAGTAAGTTCTATAACATAATGGGCTTCCTTTGACATTTCTGCTTTGGACACTCTAGATTACTCTTTTTAACTTGTAATAATGTAGGATATATCAGCACCAGAAATTAATAATTCAGTATTAATTCTTTCTTGATAACTAAAGCTGTTCTGCAATGCTGGGAGTTCTGAGACTTTTTTCTGTTTAAATATGCAAAGGATTGTGCCCTTGACTGCATTAGATGAAACTTAACATTTTAGTTTAAATGCTGATTTAACATATAAATTGTTCCTAATCCCTCAGATAGGATTCTCGCTCTGATTTGATTATATTTGGAACAAATATAGTAAGTGTTGGAACTGTAGAAGTAAAGGATTATGGAGTTCCAGCCAAGGACAGGCAAGAAGCAAAAGCAAAAGGTGACAGAAATAGGGTCAGAATCCTGATTGCAACTTCTCAGTTATTATCATGTGGAGACAAAAAGAACCATTACAATGATCACTGCAGATAAATAGAAGAAAACAACAAAAGACATAAAACAAGAAACCTCTTCCAGAAGATCCAAGAAAGGCAAAGGGAATTTCAAACCTAGATTAGGAATGCTATGCTAAAGACAAAGAAGGGAACATAATATCTGATCAGGAGAAAACAAAGAGAAGGTGGAAAGAATATACCGAATAACTATACAGAAAAGATTAAAGGATGACAAGTGGAATCCTATGAAAAAGAATATGCAATATTACAAAATGATGTGAACCCTACTCTGAAAAAACTTGCAAAGAATAAAGGACAGGAGTAGATTGGATCTCAATAGAACTATTCCAAGCTGCAGAAAGAGAATCAGTCCAAATCCGAACAAAATATGTCAACACATAAGGTAAATAAAACAATGGCCCACATTCGTGCACACACATACACACGCCTGTAGTTTCCTGGATACATCTGCATATGTGCTGGATTATAATAATAGGTATAACAGCTTTAGTCATCAGGCAGACACAGAAATGAATCTGGAAAACACACATTGTCTGAGGCCACAAAGCTGCAGCATAGCTACACAGGAATTCAAACATCATTATCCTAATGTATAGTCAACACTCAAGCCACTGGCTACAATGACTCTTGCTTACTTATAGAATGCTATGTAAAATAGATTTTGTACAAAACCCATAGAACAGGGTTTCGCAATCTTTTTGGACCCATGAGTACATTTGCAAATTTGAGAAACTGCTAATGGCAACACTGCAAAATGTCTAACAGTGGCTTACCACTTTGCATCTACTTGTCAGCTCTATGGATTCTTGGCAGTGTTTTACGCAGCAGTCTTTTCTTTCGTGTCTACTGGACACCAAAACATCTTTTTAACAAGTAATTATCTAATTCAGCTAATCACTGGAGGTGCAGTACAATTTTAGTTGAAACTTATGTTTTGGTAATGTGCACTTGAGGCCTCTTTTTGTGAGGAGACTATTACACATATAAATGTTGTAATGGAACAGAGTATTTGCTGCCGTATACATACATACACTCTTTGGAATGATTTACATATTTCATGGAAACTAACAAATGGAAGGGCAAATGGATTCTCTATGTTCTTTTGACAAAAGACTGTTTACAAACTTGGAAAGATACAAACCCACCTCCGATAACGCAATGGACTGAGGACATTGTGTTTCAATATACGTATGGACAGGTGGCCTATAAGTAAGAACTTGAAATAGAAAATTATTGGATATTGGGCATACTTTTAAAGAACCTATGTATAATTAATAGAAAGTTGTATGCATTTCATTCAAATACATTTATGCAGTTTGAATAAAACAAGAAAAAATTAAACACTGAAAAAATTCAGCTGTTTTTGGAGGTTCTTTGCTAATGCCACATCCAATAATCTATGCCCTGCATAACAATTCATTGTGGAGTCAGGATGTACTGCAGACAGATATATGTACTACAATCGAATTAAGAAAGATTTTGAACATATACCAAGTCAGTCAAAAAATCCAGTCATTTAATCTAGATTTCATTTTCATCAATGCATTTTCTGCTGAGAATAATGGAATCTAAATCAATACAGGGGAAAAATCTTTCTGTTCTCTTTTCAAACACAGCACTCGGTCACTAATAAATTAAATACGAGGAGTTTAATAAAATGTTCTATCTGTAAAGGCAAGCTTTCCCCGCAAACCATACAGGAGCATCCCAAGTTATCCAGCCTTATGTTTTCATAAGGTATGTATAAATAAAATACAAATTCTCATTTGAAATCATTTCAGGACTAATTTGCAAGTTAAATGTATTATAAAGTTCAGATACTTCAAACAAAATCAATCTGACTAGCCAAGAAGTATATATCTTGCAAGCTTAGTTCTCTGTTCTCTCTCTTTCTCTGTTTTCCCGATTATTAGTGACAAGAAGTTGAATGTTAACAACACCTGTAGCACACTAGACCTTCTGTAGATTTTAAAATTCAGACAAATTGTAGATGATGATAACATAACAATGGTAAGGAAAAAAGTGTTCTCATTTGTGTCATGGTCATTATTTTGAGCAGAGTGGAATCAGAATTTTTGCTGCTGCTTCTCCCCTTTATCTGTCTTGCTAAAAAGATATTCTGAATAGAGAAACTGTATAGTTTTGTTATTCTTACATATCAAATATCCCATACTAACAAATTGTTCTTCAGAGTCTATTAGAATTGATTTCTCAAACACTTTGCACTTATTTAATAGCACCATCCAAAGACTTTTGAACTGCCATGAACAAGTTTTGGATTTCCACTTTACTTCTCTTGCCTTGTCTCTTCCTTCCCATTTATACAATGATTTTACATACAAGTGTAAACTATTATATAATGTGATTTCTGGAGAAATCATTTTCATTATTAACATACGATAACTAGTGATAGCTAATTTCAACAAATCATATGGAAGCGCTCCGTTGATCTAATTCTTTTATTCTCCTAAGCATAAAACCACCTTCCAATTCCTCCCCCAAATTAGCCAACACTAATAGACTTGCACTGTAAGTGCTCTTTTGTGAGTTAAAAGCAGTTGTGGTTATTCAACAGATTTACCTCAATTTTAATTGATTTCCCTTTCCTATTGCAGACATTTCCACCAACTGGAAATCATAAAACAAGATATACAATGGTTAAAAATTGCAATATTTGGTAAGAGCAAACTAAAGTAGATGGCAATAGGACATTTTCAGTCAGACAATCCCAAAGTGTTTCCTTTCAGAAACAAACTCAAAAGAAATGCAGTAGCTCTAATACTGATGCAATATGTAGCACGTGCAGTTAAAGGGCTATAATACAAAATCCAACAGACTATCAACCAAAATTTGTGGAAATCCTACCAACATAAACATCATTCAAGTCTATACTGCAACAACAGATGCTGAAGAAAAAAAATTGAAGACTTTACCTAGGTGTTAAAGAGGAACCTGATCACGCAAAAGTAGGAAACAGAGCAGAATTAAATGTCGTAGGGCAGCCTTTCCAACCTTGTGTCTTCTAGACACATTTGGACTAGAACAACCAGAATTCTCAGTCAATGGCTGGATGGGAATTCTGGGAGTTGCAGTCCAAATGCCTCTGAAGGCCACCAGGTTGGGGAAGGCTGTTGTAGGCAATATGGACTAGGGATAACATATAAAGCTGGAGATTGACTCATATAATTCTGTGAGGCCAAAATCTGTTTATAGCAAATCCATGCTTCAAGCAACTAATCAAATAACTGTGTGCATGGACATCACTAGACAGCCAATACAGAAATGAAACAGACTATGTAATTGGAAGCAGGAAATGGAGACGCTCTAGTCTTGCTGTCAGAACAAGATCAGAAGCAGATTGTGGTAGTAACCAGTAATTATTAATATCAACAGAATTATTAAAAGATGCATAATACCAAACTGCCACTAAAATAACATTCTGAGCAATAGTGATAGCAATCAGCTTCACTACTTACGTGGCATTTTTCAAATCACAGAGTTTAT